CACAGAAATACAGAAACAGTTCTCCTAATCATTTATGTTTATGATTAACTGCAGTCCCTGCTATGTAAACCTGGCTTATTGCTACTGATACAGAAAGTATTTGCTTGAGTTGTTCTGAAATTTGAAACTTCTTTTGACTCAAAGCACTCCTGTTTCTTCTGAAGTCTCACTAAAAGCAGTTCCAGCTATTTGTTGAGTCAGAACCAACTCCCAGTCTCTGAGGCTGCAAATCTCATGAGAGGAGAGGGTCCATCTTGTCCCTGAAGAGCCACAGGTGGATTTGAACCAGCAGAGAGGTGCAGCCTTTGGGGTAGTAGAACAGCTCCCTGTGGGCTATGCCAGCAGAGTGACCTAAAGTTTCAGTAAGTCAAATTTAACACTCTCTCCTCTCCTCCCTCCCCTTCAAGTGTCTGTACTAGTTGGCCTTTAGGTTGTCTTGATTGACCAGCAGATGGTTAAGTGCTCTGCTACGAAGTGAAAGCTTGGTAGTTTGAACCCACCCAGAGACTCTAAAGACCTTATGACCTTCTGAAAAGCCTTGAAAGCTTTGTGGAGTTCAGTTCTTCAGTTACCCACAAATGGGCTCACCTGAGTCAGAATAGATGACATCTGGCTTCTGCTTTCTAGAGGTGAACAATAGGCAGAAAATAGAACTAACTGAGAGATAGCAAGAAGGCCATATCCTACCTCAGAGAGTTGTGTGTACACCAGTGGACTTGTGTGTCAGTGCAGTGCAATGAATTGCTTTTATCTGGTCCTTCAAGCCATGGACTTGCAACTCTTCAGAAATGGCTAGGAGGAGCCACAAGGTTCTTATAGTCCATGACAGATACTGAAGAGTACGATTATTCAAATAAGATACATTGAGCCCCTGCAAGGGTGGGAATATGCAATTAAGTTTCATGGAACCCTTGACGGGTATCAGTCAGTTGCCGTCCCACTAGGCATAATGAGGTGGAAGGAGCCTTAATATAATCAAGAGGAGCCAGGAGTGAAGCTCTCTGTGCTTTGGACATGGGAGTTTGACCTGAGAACCTTCTAGACTCACAGAACAGAGAGCTGTAACATTGGAGATGGGGTAACACGGCACAGGGGACACCCTGCCCCATGCAGTGGGGCTTGTCATCCCACAGCAATAGAGTAGAGTGGCTGCAGGAGGCTGGCTGGCAGAGTGGGCTGCTTCTGGATACATGTTGGCAGAGCTCAAGAGCTTGATGACATTTGAGGCCAAAACCAAGAGTGAAGGCCAAGGGTGTGGGTTTAGAGAGAGGATTGCGAATGGGCTTCGCCTTGACATGTTGCCTATTGGTCCTGTGGTGAGGATTTTTGTTTTCTTGATGTTGATATGTATCCCATTTGATATTCCTTATGCACCAAGTATTTTAAGTCTTCTTCACTTTCTGCAAGCAGGTAAGTCATCTATATAACGCAGGCTGTGTGTAAGTCTTCCTCCTGTCCTGGTGCCACTTTCTTACAGCTTCTCAAATGATTTCTTCAGCACACAGAGTAAATAGATACAGAGAAAGAATACAACCCTGATGCACATCTGTCCTGATTTTAAACCATACAGTGTTGCTGTGTTTGTTTGGACAAGAGCTTCTTGGTCTAGGTTTTGCATGAGCAAAATGAAGTGTTCTGGGATCCTCGTTCTTCTCAATGTTCACCATCATTTGCTATCATCCAGAAAGTCCAATCCCTTTGCAGAGTCAATTGAGCATAAACATCCTTCTGGTATTCTCTGCTTTGAGCCAAGTTCCATCTGACTTCAGCAGTGAGATTTCTCATGTCATTGGCTCTTCTGTTTCCAGCTTGCATTTCCTTCAGGCTTATAGTCAGCAGTCCATGAAGCAGCTCTCCGCTGACCTGAGGGCTGTGAAAGTTTTCATATCTCTGTCCCTTGAGAGCCAATGTCTTTTTTTCTAGGCTGGTGTCAGGAGCCTAGTGAAGCTGTAGTGTCTGTCCACTCCCCATGCTGGGATGGACAGGCCCCACTTGTGAAGACAGAGCCTGCATCCCCACTTGCCCACTGTTAATACATTGTAGCAGATGACAGTAATACATGGTTCTAAGCACGTCAGTTTAAAAGTGTGCGGTAACGTGTTAACCTGTCCATGCTCATCCATACCCCTTTCCATTCACACGCAAAAGGGAAGCCAGCCCCTCCTCACCTTCTGTCCATCTCAGTCCCTCAGAGACAGTGTGGTGCACAGACATAAGCAGGTGGACTCTGGCTCCCAGGGGTGTCCAAGATAGTGGCAAGTCACCTCTCTCAGGCGGTGCTGGTCTCTGTGCTGATCCTTGGTGGGAGAGGTCAGGATGACAGCAGGACCCAGCCTCTGGGAACCACACTGTGAATAGAGTCCTCTCCCCAGGGTGGGAGCTGTGTTGGACAGTAGCTGGCTTTCTTGCAGGTGTCATAGGTCTTGTCCTTCACTTATCCCAAATGCCCAGGACACAGGATCAGAGCAGGGCCAATTCTTCCTTGGTCATTCTCCGCTGACAGCTGTGCATCCACGCCACCACCTCTCCCCACAGTTACAAGTCCAGAGGCAGGTGCTGCCTAACATTTGTCTTGCAAAGGCAGTGTGTGTGTGTGTGTGTGTGTGTGTGTGTGTGTGTGTGTGTGTGTGTGTG